ACCCATTTCCACCTGATAACAACCGGTCTCCAGTGCGCAGCGTTTATAGAGTCTCAAAGCCAAAGTGCGTAATAATAAATCCACATGTAGTCACACAAATAGAGCGACTATCACCACAAGTGCATCTCCCAAATGGAGCCCTACTCGTGCTCTGTTAGCAGCCCGACTCTACTGACAATATTCCACGGAAAAATGTACGGACATGACCTCACAAATATCTCATCACCAACAAGGGAAAGCTGCCGGGACTTCTAAAGAATCATCTTAGAAGGACAATGGACACCTAACTGTACATTTTGCAAACTGAAAAATGAAACCACCTCTCACTTATTTTGGAATGGTCCAGACTTTGTGTTTTTTGGAAAGAATTCATCAAACATATGGGGGGGGGTTCACTGACAATGTCCCAACCAAAACTGAAACCAAAACTACGCCCTTGGTGACATCTCAAGGTGTAACAGAGTGTTGTTGTTTTTTTTTGTTTGAAAGGAGAACTCAGCCTAAATCTGCATGTTTTTTGTGTTAAACATGCGTGAATGAAACAAAACACAACTCCAGGTCTGTTTGTGATGAGTAAAAACATCAGAAAACAGCGTAATATGAGCCTTTTTAAAAAGCTTTTCACGCTGAAACGTTCAAATGCAGACTCCGTAAGTTTCTTCCCTCGTGACAAAAATGTGCCCACTCCGCTCCCTCGTTGGCTCCGGGTTTGTCCGTCGCTTGACAGTAACAGCTCCAGTCATCTCCATCCCCCTGTTAACGTGGAGCAGAGGAGGAAGAGGAGGAGGAGGAGGAGGAGGCCACCAGCTTCTCCCACCAGCTTCTCCAGCCTCTAATCCACACTTAATTGAACTCCAGAGACTTTGAAGTGAGTCCGTGATGCGTCGCAGCTCCTATTCCTCGGAGAGACGCCGCGCTCCGAGCCCGTCCCCGGCTGAGGGCCCCAGCTGCTCCGCCCGCCGTCCCCCCGCCTTTAATGAGCGGAGCGGGGTCTAGATCGCTCTCCCTGGCTCCGGATTTGAATATTTTTTGATTAATAATACCGCGCGGAGACGAGCGAAAACGTTCCCCCCCGTACCTCCGTCGGACATCCCCGTACGCCCACTGTCACTCGGAGCTAAAAAAGCGAACGCCGAAACAAAGGCTAGTTAACAAAGCGGAGTTAAGTAGGTTAGTGCGTATCTAAACGGGGGATTAGTAGCGCCGAGAATGGCCGGGGCAGGGCTAAGCATCCGAAAATGTCCGCGGCGGTGACAGACGTCAGGACGCGTTACGGTGACGGCGGCCGCGAGCTCCGTCGGGACTCGCTCGTCTCCGCACTTTTAATAACGTGATCTGACCTCGGTGAAATACATGTTCGGTCTAATCGGATGTTAAAGCGAGCGGGCCTGTTATGCAAAACGGACTTTTCGGAGGGTCGGTTGTTTCCGCTCGACATTTGCCCGCTCGAGGTTTTATTTGGGGTGATTTTTAATCGTTTATTATTAAGATGTCACTCGTTTTCACCGGCGCCGCGCTGTGCTTACGATTGTAACGATGTTTAAATCCCACGGTTCCATATTTAAAGCAGTATTTTGTAGAGACTAAGTGTTTAACCCTTCCAGACCCACTGTAGTTGTAGGGAGTATTATCTCTTACATAAGTGTGAGTTATGGTACAGTTGTAGGGAGTATTATCTGTTACGTCCGGCTGAGTTGTTGTACAATTGTAGGGAGTATTACATGTTACATAAAAATGAGCTGTTGAACACTTGTAGGGAGTATTATCTGTACATAAACTGAGTTGTACATTGTAGGGAGTATTATGTGTAACATAAAGGTGAGTTGTACAGTTGTAGGGAGTATTATCTGCTACATAATAGTGAGTTATGGTACAGTTGTAGGGAGTATTATCTGTTACGTCCGGCTGAGTTGTTGTACAATTGTAGGGAGTATTACATGTTACATAAAAATGAGCTGTTGAACACTTGTAGGGAGTATTATCTGCTACATAAAGGTGAGTTGTACAGTTGTAGGGAGTATTATCTATTACATAAGGGTGAGTTTTATAGTTTTAGGGAGTATTATTTGTTAAATAAATGTGAGCTGTTGTACAGTTGTAGGGAGTATTAGCTGTTACATAAAACTGAGTTGTACAGTTGTAGGGAGTATTATGTGTAACATAAACGTGAGTTGTACAGTTGTAGGGAGTATTATCTGCTACATAATAGTGAGTTATGGTACAGTTGTAGGGAGTATTATCTGTTACGTCAGGCTGAATTGTTGTACAATTGTAGGGAGTATTACATGTTACATAAAAATGAGCTGTTGAACACTTGTAGGGAGTATTATCTGCTACATAAAGGTGAGTTGTACAGTTGTAGGGAGTATTATCTGCTACATAAAAGTGAGTTGTACAGTTGTAGGGAGTATTATCTGCTACATAAAGGTAAGTTGTACAGTTGTAGGGAGTATTATCTGTTACATAAGGCTGAGTTTTATAGTTTTAGGGAGTATTATTTGTTAAATAAATGTGAGCTGTTGTACAGTTGTAGGGAGTATTATGTGTAACATAAACGTGAGTTGTACAGTTGTAGGGAGTATTATCTGTTACATAAAACTGAGTTGCACAGTTGTAGGGAGTATTATTTGTTACATAAAAATGAGTTGTTTAACAGTTGTAGGGAGTATTCTCTGTTGCATAAGGGTGAATTATTGTACAGTTGTAGGGAGTATTATCTGTTACATAAAAGTGAGTTTTTGTACAGTTGTAGGGAGTATTATCTGTTACATAAAGGTAAGTTGTACAGTTGTAGGGAGTATTATCTGTTACATAAGGGTGAGTTTTATAGTTGTAGGGAGTATTATTTGTTAAATAAATGTGAGCTGTTGTACAGTTGTAGGGAGTATTATCTGTTACATAAGGCTGAGTTGTACAATTGTAGGGAGTATTATGTGTAACATAAACGTGAGTTGTACAGTTGTAGGGAGTATTATCTGCTACATAAAAGTGAGTTGTACAGTTGTAGGGAGTATTATCTGCTACATAATAGTGAGTTGTACAGTTGTAGGGAGTATTATCTGCTACATAAAAGTGAGTTTTTGTACAGTTGTAGGGAGTATTATCTGTTACATAAAAGTGAGTTGTACAGTTGTAGGGAGTATTATCTGCTACATAATAGTGAGTTGTACAGTTGTAGGGAGTATTATCTGTTACATAAGGTGTTATTTTATTTCAATATCTTTGTCAAGTCGTAACTTTTGTGTAATTTTAGACGTGTTTTGGCTCTTGTTTCCGTTATACAAGTAAATAAGAAAAAAATAAAAATGTAAAAGTAAAATTTTAACCTTCACCAAAATGACAAAACTAGAAAAAAATATGCTAAAATCTTAAATCTAATGTTGTTAACTGTACTTTATCTAATCTCATGTGCACTTGAGCGTATCTTTGTTGTATCCAGAGTCTCCAGGGCGGCCGGTGTCTTGTCTTAATGTTTTATGGGCTGTAATATGAATCATCTTTTAGTGAACTAAATAGGCCCCTGCTTCAATAGGGCTGAATAGGAGCCATTCTCCCTCTAAAGGAATCGCTTTTTCATTGGTGCGGATCAATATAAGACATTAATCGTGCGGCTCGGGGTGTCCTGCCATCGCTAATGAAAAATGAACCGAGCTCGCGCCGTTCCTGCACATCCTGACTCTCTTTTTTTTTTTGCTGGTGCTGTGCTTTTTGTTTGTGTAATTTTTTTTTGCAGTAGGTGTTTTATTTACAGGGTCTTTATTTTCTAATCCAAGGGTGGGCAATTATTTTTTCCATGGGGCCAACAGAAAATATTGTGGAGAGACAAAATGCTTAACTCAATGCTGCATAATATTAATTGTATTTGTTTATAAAAAGCAATAAATATCGTTGTTTTGACGAGCTGCTCAGACTGGTAAGAGTTTATGTTCTGACTAAGCGATGAAAAAGTGAGGCTGCCTTATAAAAAATGTCAAAAAACCCCAAAAACCCACACTTCTAAAATAAAATCAATGCGGCTTTAGTCGATGTATGAGGTCAACTTATAAAATATGTTTATTTTTTAATTCCAAATGAGCAACGACCGACCTCGAGGTTTTTTTTTGCAATCTTGTTTTTCTCGCACTCAATGTGTTTGGGCTCGGTCTTGTCTCGGTCTTGAAGGTGTTTGGACTCAGTCTTGTCTTAGTCTTGAAAGCCCTTGGACTCAGTCTTGAAAGCCCTTGGACTCAGTCTTGAAAGCACTTGGACTCGGTCTTGTCTTGATCTTGAAGGCGCTTGGACTCTGTCTCATCTCGGTCTTGAAAGTGCTTGGACTCGCTCTTGTCTCAATCTTGAAGGCACTTGGACTCGGCCTTGTCTCGGTTTTGAAGGCGCCTGAACTTGTTCTTGTCTTGATCTTGAAGGCACTTGGACTCGTTCTTGTCTTGGTCTTGAAGGCGCTGTGACTCGGTCTTGTCTCGGTCTTGAAGGAGCTTGGACTTGGTCTTGTCTTGGTTTTGAAGGCACTTGGACCCAATCGTGAAACCACTTGGATTCGGTCTTGTCTCGGTCTTGAAGGCACTCGGTCTTGTCTCGTCTCGAGATCTGATCCTCGAGTGATAAAATGGAGGTAGACTTATAAAAACATTGACATACATGTGCTAGAATAACTCTAAAATACAATTAAATGCAGAAGAAGACGGTGAAGATGGTCTCGATTTGGTCTCGATGGGCTGTGGTCTTGGTCTTGTCTCTGTCTCAGAACCTCTTGGTCTTGATTATTGTGGTCTGGACTACAACATTACTAACTATAATACTGTGTAACTTTTTGGTTGGGGGTCCGTCACCTGCTTGTCTCTATGGATACTTTATTTCTCTGTCTGGAATGTTCCACAGTGTGACATTAAACTGCTCTACTTTACATTTATTTAATTACAATTGGGTTTATAGCTCAGAAATACCTAAAAAAAAAGTGTAATATCACACTTTTAACCGTTCTCTCCTGTTCATTTCTCTTTCAGATTTTGGCCTACACTGAAGGTCTCCATGGAAAGTGGCTGTTCACCGAGATCCGAGCGGTTTTCTCCAGACGATACCTGCTGCAAAACACCGCTCTGGAAATCTTCATGGCCAACAGAAGTAAGATATCATTTATTTTCTCTCACCAGCTGATAAAACTGTGACACTTGACATCATCACGAGTAGGGATGTGCCAAAATATTGTATCGATTTATCGGCAAGAGTATTTTTTGGTATATTTTACTGAACTATTTCGTTACAGCTACAGTTTTGTTGCTTGTTCAGAGGAAGGGAAACTCTTTTATGCGACACATTTGACATTTTCACAGTTTTGATGATTAAAATGTTTGTGTTTCATATGAACTTTCCGCAAAAATTGATTTAACAAAGGCTTTTAGTGTCACAGCCGTCATTTAAACTTTATTTTTTACTGAACCGTCTCGAATCGATTTGAAATATATCGTATCGAATCAAAAGTGCGCTGTATCGAGGTATGTATCGCATCGTGGCCTATGTATCGCGGTATTGCGTATGTATCGTATCGGCAACTTCTGAATGATACCCAGCACTAATCATGAGGGTGTTCTACATGTTTCTCTATGACAGAAAGTTCAGGAAAAAAGGCAAAAATCTAAAGTATGGATTTAAAAAACAGGGGAATTTGATGACGTAACCATGTTTTTTTTTTCGTTTACAGCGGCCGTCATGTTCAACTTCCCCGACGCGGCCACGGTCAAGAAGGTGGTGAACAGTCTTCCTCGAGTCGGCGTGGGAACCAACTTTGGCCTCCCACAAACCAGGTCAGATGTTACCACAGGACGAACAGAACAGTCAATGAAGCTCAACGAGGCTAGCAGTTACAGGGACGAATTTGGAGTCAAGACCCATATAAGGACGTACAGTGGTAGTTTACGTGCAAAATAGCGAAATATAAACACCAGGATCATGCAGAGTGGGTTAATGGTTTTGATTGATTAGTTTATTTCGGTCACAGGTACCGTATTTTTCGGACTATAAGGCGCACTTAAAATCCTTTAATTTTCTCAAAAATCTATGCTGTGGCTAAAGACCGCTGCATGAGACAGGATAATTTGCCCGGTTTAACTGTTTCTCTGACCTGAAGGGGGCGTGACTTGAGTTTGGAGCATATATTATAGTTTATGCAAATGAGCCATGTGGTTTGAAGTTTCGTTTCGGTAAAATGTAAAACAAATGTGCACAAAGCTGCATTAAACACATTATTACTCAACGTATATTTGAGTCGTCCTCGTAAGAAATAAAAAAACAAATTTAAATGATCCACCCATGTTCACATTTATAATCCACATTCACCAAGACAGGGAGGAAAGGGCGGGTGAATTACGCAACGATCTGCCGATGGATCGTGGACGCCTGGACTAAGGATCAGTCTCAAGTGTCTCACAGTCAGAATTCCAAATATAGAACTTGGCTGCAAATTCGTTCATTCGTTTTTCAATATAAAACCAAAAATAAGAAAATGAAAAACCAACTATTTTCTTCATTATTTGTCTCCAAAACCAAAATGACAAAGCAGATAACGACTTGTTTTTTCATTTTACGATTTTGTGTTTAAATGAAAAATGGAAAAAACGGATAAAGGCCGTTTCCTGTTTCCGTGACTTAAACTGCGATCCTGAACTGAACCAGGACTGAACCAGGACTAAACCGTTTTCAGTCCTGGTCTGGTCCTGGCCTCAGTCCCGGTCTCAGTCCTAGTTCTGTTCCCGGTCTCAGTACTGGTCTCAGTTCTGGTCTCAGTCCCAGTCTCAGTCCTGGTCCTGTTCCCGGTCTTGATCTCAGTTCTGGTCTGGTCCCGCTCTCAGTCCTGATCTTACTTCTATTCTGGTCCCAGTCTGGTCCTGGACCTGTTTTAGTCCTGTTTTAGTCCTGGTTCAGTCCGTATGCGGCGCAAAAGTCTGACATCACTGTTTAAGTCACGAAAAGTTTATCCTTGTTTTTATTTATTCATATTATTAACACAAAATCTAAAACTTAAAAAAACGAATCATTATCTTTTTTTTGTTTTTTTTGTTTTGAAGACAAATAATGAAGAAAATCGTTGTTTTTTCGGTTCTTATTTTTGGTTTTATTTTGAAAAACAAATGAACGAACGACACACGGATTCCCCCATAACTGCAATGAGCTTCATTTGACTGGACCTGAACACTATAGACGACGTCGCACTCGCTTAGTCCACTTTTTTATCCAGCTATACATGCTCCGAACTCAAGTCACGTCCACTTCAGGTCAGGGAAAAGCTTAAACCGGGCCAAATTATCCCGCGTCATGCAGCGTTCTTCCGCCGTAGCACTTGGACCCGGCGGTGTTTGGGTTGTGAGTGACGGCGTGTACAGGGGAGCATGTGTCTGGCCTTACCCGGCGAGGGGGGTCCAGCAGAATGTATGTGTTTGTAGCAGGCTCATTAATCAGCCCAGCCTCGGGTCAGGGGTACGTTGGCTCCGTGACCCGTGGACAGCTGTACAGGCCGGGCTTGTGCTTACTCTGGCTCGCGCTGCCAACACAGCACAATCTATCAGAAAGCTCCAGAAATACGCGCAAAGTACCAAGAAAAACTGTATACAAGGCAAATACACACAGCTGCAGTTTACTAATACTTGGGTTCACTGTATTCGTCAAATATTTACAGGTCCTATATTACACAAATTTGACTTTTGTGATGTTTAAGCCGTGCTATAATGCCCGGAGTTATGTTTTGTTTGAGTAATCCTGCGTTATTAGTCTGTCTGCGTCTCCAAAGCTCAAAATTCTCAGTAGAAATCGGCAATTCCGTGGATTAAAATGATCCAAATGATTCTAGTGAAGGTGATGAAGTTTAAAAACGGAGTGGAGCACATCCTAAATCTGTAGGTTTTGTGTTTTAATGAAACAAAACACAACTCCAGGTCAGTTTTTGATGAGGAAACAACATTATAACAGAGAAAGTAGTGTACCGTATTTTCCATACTATAAGGCGCACTGTCATATTTTTTATCTTTTTTCACATCTAAACCGCTCCGGACTATAAGGCGCATTAAATGAAACACAACAGTTAGATAAGTCAGTCAAACTTTATTTAAAGCGTTTCCAATAACTCTCAACTTTGTTCAATTGTAACGCGTAAAAAAAATACTGTCCGAGACGCTAAATTGTTCATATATTCACAATAACTCATAATTGTTTAAACAGCACGTCCACATCCCTCTCGTCATTATCCAAGTCAGTGTGGTTACTGTTACGTGGCAGTTTAGTGATGATTCTGGTCTTGGTGAAAGCTCGGACAACAGTTGATCCTGATCCTTAGCCCGGGCGTCCACGATCCGTCGGCAGATCGTGGCGTAAGTCGCTCGGCGCTGTCTCCCTGTCTTGGTGAATGTGTGTTCTCCTTCTCTCATCCACTGCTCCCACGCAGCTAAACGCACTTTCACTTTATAACAGCCTTGAGTTTAAAGTCGGTGTTGTGAGCGTGTCTCTTGACAGGTGCATTTTGATATTAAAAGGAATCACAGTCTGTTTTACTCCTGATGCTCCTGACTACAGGAGCCGTAACGCTGCAAGTGGAGCGGCTTTGTCGTTTACTAAAGTCGTACAAAGACACAGAAATAAATTCATATATAAGGCGCTCTGGATTATAAGGCACACAGTCATTTTTTGATGAAATTAAAGGCTTTTAAGTGCACCGTATAGTGCGGAAAATACTTTAATACCAAATGAAGCTCATCTAGGCCAGCAGTTATTGTGGCAAATCTGGACCCAATGGCCATATTTGAAAATTTGAGCATGAAACCAAAGAGCCAATCAGGAGCGAGGATCGCCAGGATTACACCAGGACTGGACGAGGACTGGACCAGGTCTAAACCAGGACTAAACCAGAACTGAACCAGGACTGAACCAGGATTAAACCAGGTCTAAATCAGAACTAAACCAGAACTGGATTAGGACTGAACCAGGACTAATCCAGGACTACACCAGGACTAAACCAGAACTAAACCAGATTTGGACCAGAACTACACTAGGACAGGACCGGGACTACACCAGGACCAAACCAGGACCAGACCAGGACTAAACCAGGTCTAAACCAGGACTAAACCAGGAATGGACCAGGACTACACCAGGTCTAAACCAGGTCTGAACCATGACTAAACCAGAACTGGACCAGGACTGAACCAGAACATAACTGAACCAGGATTAAACTAGTTCAGCTCCAGTCAAATGAAGCTCATCGAGGCTGCCAGTTCTAGGCGCGAATTCCGTTTTAGGAATAGGAATTTATTTACCTGCAAAATGGCAAAAATAAAAACGGCAGGATCACATCGAACGAGTTAATACGAACATTTTACGACCTGAAATGATGATGACCATTCTTCAACAGAAAGTGAATTACAACCGGAACTCTAAACCACCACTTTGAGCCCATGTTCACTTCCTGTACGGGACGCGGCCGTTTATATCCGCGGTCTGTGATCAGGACTAAACGAGCCCGCGCGTTGCCAAGTCTCCCTCATATTTGAAGGTCTGTGCGTTCACCTTTAGAAGTCCTAATGAGCATAATCCAACTCCTTGACAGTGATTAATTCCATAATTTTCCTTTGTTTTAATTAGATGTGGGGTCATTTGTTTCTGTCTGAGTTCATACATCACTCCGCGGACCGTAAGCCGTGTGTGCGCGCGTGCTCCCCACCGAAACTCACCCCAATTTATTGCGTATTTGTCTTGTTAATTAGCATGACTGTGAATTCAATAGGTGCTCCGTTCTAGTGCGTTTGTGTGCGCGGGGGGGGGAGGCGCGGACTGCCCGGGGTGAGTTCTGCCGGGGTGATTGCAGACTTGTGTTTTCGTCGAGGGGGCACGGGGCAAAAAGAAAACGTTGGCTGTAACAGTGTTGACCTTGTGTGTTTACAGGCGGATTTCTCTGGCCACGCCAAAGCAGCTCTTCAAGGCGTCCAGCATGACCCAGCGCTGGCAACGGAGGGAGATTTCCAACTTCGAGTACCTCATCTTCCTCAACACGATTTCAGGTGAGTATTAAAGTTAGCGCGTTTTGTTTTTTAATCGCGTTAATCTCATTTTTAATCTCTAACTTTAGTGTTTCTGTATGTGAGTTTCTTTATTATAAAACCTGTTTTTATGTGTTGCTGGGACAATAACACACACACACACACACACACAAAAACCACATTTATACATTTTTTTATTTCGGTAATTCCACTCATTGCCGGAAAACCACACAAAACACGCGCAGTAAGAGCGATGTAAACGTCATGTTAACGTTGGCGGCGTCAGTCACACAATGGACGAGGTCGTAGAGCCAGTAGAACAGAGGCAGCAGTGCACAGGGTAAAAACACATTCGTGTCTTGGAAATTATTCTCCCGACGTGAAATATAAAAGAAAATAACAAATATAATATCGCCTGAAAACAACCTGCATAGACTCATGATGTCTGCACTACTGTCCTATACACAAACAACACACACACACACACACACACACAAATACACACAAACAAACACAAACACACACACAAACAAACACATCATCGTCATTAACCTGTGAACGCGTGGACCACGTTTCCTTCCGTAGTTACTGCGTGGACACCGACGTGCTCCCGTGAGCCGCGTGTGGATCGTGTTTTCTCGCGTACGCGGCGTAAACCGCACTTCCTCCTGTGAACCTCTAAACCAGAACTAACACCAAGACTAAAAACCAAGACTAAAACCAGGACTAAACCAGGACTAAACCAGGTCTAAACCAGGTCTAAACCAGAACTAAACCAGAACTAAAACCAGGTCTAAACCAGGACTAAACCAGAACTAAAACCAGAACTAAAACCAGGTCTAAACCAGGTCTAAACCAGGACTAAACCAGGACTAAACCAGAACTAAAACCAGGTCTAAACCAGGTCTAAACCAGGACTAAACCAGGACTAACACCAGGACTAAACCAGGACTAAACCAGGTCTAAACCAGGACTAAACCAGAACTAACACCAGGACTAAAACCAGGATTAATCCATTCCAGGACTAAACTAGGACTAAAGTAGGACTAAACCAGGTCTAAATCAGGACTAAAACCAGTGATCTCATATATAAAGCATTTCTCTATCAATAATATTTTTAATATGGTTAAGGAAAGACTGGACTTTTTATTGTCTTTAAGTTGACAAAAGTTATTATGTTCAGATTTCCTCGTCTTTGCTACTTTACAAGCAAACAGTTTCTTATTCATGGAGACTTGGGCTCAACAGACAATTTGGAGAGATTTGTTAAACAATAAATGACTTTATAAAGTCACTTTTTTAAATCTATATCAGTCTTTTGATCTGCCACAATAATGTAAAATGAATTTAAATGAAAATACCTCAAATTGAAGACTTTTCTCAGCAATTTTTAGGTGAGATTAAAATGAGATTAATTAGATTAATTAATTACAGATCATAATTAATTAATCTCTAAATTTTTTTAATTGCATGACAGCACTAATTAAAGTACTATTAAAGTATATATTAGGGTATAAGAAACATAAGAATTATAAACAAAATGGAGATTAAGTCAGGGTTCCCACGGTGATGCAAATCCTAGAAAAGTCATGTATCGTCTCTTTCACGCAACTCCAGCGTTCTGTTAAATTCTCGTGAGACTATTATGATTATTTCCGAATGTATGCACTTTTTCTTTAAAAGAGACGACAATAAATGCACTGACAATATTTTGAATGTTAAAAAAACTATAATCCCAAACCTATTAAAGTTATTAAACAGTAAAGCCTATTTATATTTACCGTATTTTCCACACTATTAGGCGCTCTGGATTATAAATCACACTGTCATTAAATGGTCTATTTTCGAACTTTTTTCACAAATAAACCGCACTGGACTTTAAAGGAAACACAACAGTTGGATGGGAGAGTGGTTTTGTTTGTTTGTGGCGTGTAGGGAGGGTGCTGTCTGGGATCTAGAAGCGGCACATTGCGCTCGCTTTTTTCGGTTCGTTCCTCCGTTCCGTTCCTCGTCGGCGTGGAGTGATGACTGTGTGTGTTTGCGTACGCTGGGACACCCGAGTGGATTCGTGTGTAGTATAGGACAGTCTGGATTGTGGGCGCGCAGTCGTTTTTTGATGGGGTTGGAGAACTTTGAGTGCGCCCTATAGTCCGGAAAATATGGTATTTTTAAAGTTAAAAAACTATAATCCCAAACTATAAGGAGAGTGGAAAGGATTAACATTTCATAGCCCTAAAAGTCTGATCAATTCTACACGTTCAGGTGCCGTAAAGTCATGGAAAATTCACTTTAGGACGTGAAAAAGTCATGGAAAAGTTTAGCAATTTTGTCAGTGAAAAAGAGTGGGAACCCTGTTAATTGTGTTAATAAATGTTATTGATTTCAAGCTTCTATTATTTCACAGTTAAATCTCTTGTTCAATGAAGTGTCCATGGGCTGAAATTTTTATTTTTTTTTAAATAGATATGTGTTTAGCGGCTGGAACTGATTAAAAAAAAACAAAAATGAATGAATCACAAATCATAAAAATGACGAGGATTAGTGAACTACTGAACAAAACAGACCTATGCATATCAGCGTTTTCAGGCGTCCACACGGTGCCGGATCAGATCTGTACTCGGATGAATTCCTGGGAGCTGGAGGCACCAGATCGTTCCGTCTCTGGAGGCATTTTGAATCGGATTAGTGCGAACGAACACTGCACCCACATCGAAAACCACTCAAATATGCACTAGTGCGGTAAACGTCTTCCTGGTTTGCGGCGAACCTGTTCTGTATTTGCCAGGCAACCGTGTTTGGATTCTTGTACAAATACTCTCACATTTGTTTGGTTTTCATGTTTTTTTTGGTGTTCTTTTCGCCTTTTGTCGCTTTTCCAGACGCAGACGTGTGTATAAACGCGAAAGAATGAACTGACTCACTACCAAACCAAATTTTCCTGTTGTTACCAATATAATAACCTTGAACCTTGAATCACACTCTCTCTTTTTTTTCTTTTTTCTTCTTTTTTCTCTCTTTCTTTCTCCTCCAGGCCGCAGCTACAACGACTTAAACCAGTACCCCGTCTTCCCCTGGGTCATCACCAACTACGACTCCGAAGAGCTGGACCTGACTCTGCCCAGCAACTTCAGAGATCTGTCCAAGGTCAGGCCGCGTACTTCTCCTGCGTTTTGTTTCCAAGAACAGGACGTGAGCGTGTAGCGTTTGGCCGGGGTAATTGCCATTGATCTTCGCTAAGTGAGGGGATGACTACTGGGCTGATCTCTATCTCCCGCGTGTTCTGCTTTCTCTCCGCTCGGGCCGCTCCAACTTCCTCATATGGTTTAGCAATCTTTTTATTCGTAATACAGTTTCCGTAATTTATTTCTTTCAATTTTGACCTTATGCAGCTCTCCAGGAAGGCGAAGTGCTACTCCCCGCGAGCTCCCGAGCAACAAATGGCGTTCGATACGACGGCCTAAGATGCACCCGCTCTGGACAAAGCACTAAAACAACTTAACAGACTCCCTTCGCAAACACACGGGCTCTTCGTATTACTCACGTCGTTCGCGCTCGCACAGATACAGGAGGAGCGGCGGCGAGGCGTGCAGGTGGGAGGATTGGGTTCGGGGTGAGATGATGAAGCGACTGTCAGGACGTTGGAACCGAAATGGCGGAATAAATCAGGTAGTGGAAGAAAAAAAAAAAAAAGCTGAAGAACTGATGTGTAAATGTTAACGGGCAGAGGCGCGTTTAAGAGCTGAACGTGGGAATATTGGTGAAGGAGTAGGAGACGGTTAAAGGGTAGCACTAACTCACACTTGGAGCTGAACCATAAAAGGTCCTGGACTCTGTTTCCGGTTGAGGTTCCTCCACCTGCTCGTCTCCATGGAGATGTTATTGTTTTGTATGGAATGTTCCGGTATGGCATTAAACGGAACCATCTTGCATTTAATTAATATTAGTTTTTTTCATTACTGCTTTAAAAAGTAATCCCTTACTTTACTTACTTTATTTACTTTACTTAGTTACCCTCTATGGAAAGTAACTTTTTATGTTACTCATTACTTTGGTAACTTTTTGGTGATAAACTCCGTCTAAGGCTAAATACCGGCACAAGACGATAGTAAGTAGTAAGTATTTTTATTTATGTAGTGCTTTTCACAGGCAGATGTCACAGAGACGCTTTACAGATCATTATTCATTCACTCCAGACCCGGTGATGGAAACTATTATTGTAGCCACAGCTGCCCTGGGGCAGACTGACGGAAGCGAGGCTGCCAATCTGCACCATCGGCCCGTCCGACCACCACGTCACTCACGCACACACCACTTTCATACAAGGCAATGTGTGTGAAGTGTCTTGCCTAAGGACACAATGACAGTTATTCCCACTGGCGCCTCCTGTGGCTCCTGGAATTCCCAGTGTCTCCATCAAAGTACTGACCAGTCCCGGACCTGCTGAGCTTCTGAGATCTGATGAGATCCTGAGATCTGATGGGATCAGGCTTTGACAAGCCGCTGTGGCCGTAAAGTCAACAAGTTCTGTAAGGGAAAGTTGGGGGTCTTTTCGGGGACGGGGCTCCCTGCTCCTGCCGTGACTGTCGACCAGGGACAGACGGTCCTCAAGTCTGCCCCCAGCGCTGCGACTGGCCCACGTACACAGGAAAGTAACACTGCGCCAAAGTGAAAAAGGAACTACTTTTCGTTATCAAATTTTCAGTAGTTGTGTTTTATACAATTTTTACCCAGAAAATGTTGTTACTTAGTGCGTTTTCAAGCCATATTATTATATTATTACCTCCTCAAAAACAGATTTAGAGTTGTGTTGTGTTTCGTTCATATGTTTGAGTAATCCTGCATTATTATAGTCAAGCTGCCCAGAGTTTTGTCTCTCAGTCAGAATGTTGAGGGACATTTTTTGAACAACATCAGTGCATAAACTCTAATATTAACACGTCATCAGAGCTCGTGTTCTTTGTCTAATTCTTGCCACATATATATATATATATATATATATATATATATATATATATATATATATATATATATATTATGTGTGTGTAATATATCCTATAATTTACATTTGTTGTTATAATACCTTCCCCCCAGTGTGAGCAGTATTGTATTTCTTTATATAAACAGCTGTATGCTTTACTACTAAATCCCATGCTGGGTATTTAAATATGAAATACATTCATTTTTACTCCTTTGTTCCTTGCCCTCTCTATCTCTCTATCTCTCTATCTCTCATCTCTCATCTCTCCATCTCTCTATCTCTGTATCTGTGTGTCTGTCTGTGTGTTTGAGGACACTCATGCCTTCAAATTGTAGCTCTGTGTTCTGTGTCACCCAAGGGACCAGGTCAAAGCAGGAGGAGCAGAGAGATGGTGCAGAGTGGAGCGGAGGAGGAGGAGGAGGAGGAAAGAGGACGAGGAGGAAGAGGAGAAAGAATAGAAAGAGGAGGGAGAGGAGGAGGGAGGAGGAGTGTGTGTGTGTGTCTATATTACATGTGTTGTATTCATGTTGTTGACACGTGTGTGATATGAGTGGAGAGGCACTCGAGCGTGGAGCACTGCAGCGTCTGGAAAAGGGCCGTTCTGTTCACCCCTCCCCTCCCTCCATCCCTCCCTCCTCTTCTCTCCCTCGGCTGTGCCCTCCAAACAGCCCCCTCCCCCCGCTGTCCTGCACTGCGCACTTTCAACACAACACAACATGTAGTCTGTGTCTGAAAAGATCTAATCAAATTATATTATTACTTACCATGAGTGTATTTGGAATTTACAAAAAAAAAAAAAAATTACAGTTTATTCTTTATGGTATTTATTTATTTTTATGTATTTATTTATTTATTTATTTATTTATAATCTCTGATAAACCAATCAGCATCAAACCAGACAGACAGCAACACAGAAGTTTAAAATAATAACACAAATATAAAAGATCATTTCATTTTTAGGTAGAATTGCTGAGCCGTTTTTGAAGCTTCTCCTGATATATATATATATATATATATATATATATATATTTTTTTTTTTTTTAAACATTCACAGGACAAAATAATGATCTTAAAATATCATTTGATACAGTCGGTTTAAAAAAGCTTGAGGATAGAAGGGATTATTTTGAATCCGTGTGTCGTTCGTTCATTTGTTTTTCAATATAAAACCAAAAATAAGAAAATGAAAAAAAAAATATATATATTTCTTCATTATTTGTCTCTAAAACCAAAATAAAAAAACAGGTAATGATTTGTTTTTTTCAGTTTTTGATTTTGGGTTTAAATGAAAATTGGAAAAAACGGATAACGACCTGTTTACGTGACTTAAACTGTGATGTTGGACTGAACCAGGACTAAACCGTTTTCAGTCCTGGTCTCGGTCCCGGTCTCAATCACAGTCTGGTCCTGGTCTGGTCCCAGCTTCAGTTCTGGTCTCAGTCCCGGTTTGGCCCTGGTTTAGTCCTGATCTCAGTCCTGGTCTGGTTCCAGTCTAGTCTCGAACCTGGTTTAGTCCTGGTTCAGTCCTGATCTCAGTCCTGGCCTCAGTCCTCGTCTGGTTCCGGTCTGGTCCTGGCCTCAGTCCTGCTCTGGTTCCGGTCTGGTCCTGGCCTCAGTCCTGGTCTCAGTCACGGTTTGGTCCTGGTCTGGTCCAGGTCTCAGTCCCGGTCTGGTTCCGGTCTTGTCCCGAACCCTGGTTTTGGTCCTGGTTTAGTCCTGGTTCAGTCCTGGTTCAGTCCTGATCTCAGTCCCGGTCTGGTCCTGGTCTGGTCCCGGTCTCAGTCCCGGTCTGGTCCCGGCCTCAGTCCCGGTTTCAATCACGGTCTGGTCCCGGTCTACGTCCTGATCTCAGTCCCAGTCTGGTCCTGGTCTCAGTCCTGGTCTGATCCCGGTCTGGTCCTGGCCTCAGTCCTGGTCTCAGTCACGGTTTGGTCCCGGTCTGGTCCAGGTCTCAGTCCCGGTCTGGTTCCGGTCTAGTCCCGAACCCTGGTTTTGGTCCTGGTTTAGTCCTGATTCAGTCCTGGTTCAGTCCTGATCTCAGTCCTGGTCTGGTCCCGGTCTCATTCCCGGTCTCAATCACGGTCTGGTCCCGGTCTAAGTCCTGATCTCAGTTCCGGTCAGGTTCCGGTCTGGTCCTGGACTGGGTTTAGTCCTGGTTCAGTCCGTACGCGGCGTTAAAGTCCAGCGTCACGGAAACACCAAACGAATCATTATCTGTTTTTAAATTTTGATGATTTTTTGGTTTTACGTTGAAAAACAAATGAACGAACGTTATTATTATTTTGCGTGTTTGTTCTTCTCGTGCTTCAGAATTTCGGTCCCGTCCTTGTTTTTACGTCGCGTCGCGTTCGGTTTTCTCCTCCTGTTTTCTCATTATCCTCTATTTGCTCAGGTCGTCTCTGCTCCTGTCGCCTCACGTCGCCAACGGAACCAGGTCATGTGAGCCGAGCGCCGTGACATTGAGGAGAGCGTGTGTGTGTGTGTGCGTGTGTGTGTGTGTGTGTGTGTGTGCGTGTGTGTGTGTGTGTGTGTGTGTGTCGCGCTGTCGTCCGTCCCCCCGGCTCCACAGGCCACACAGAATTTATGTTCCCGTCCGCTGCAGCCGCTCTGACCCCGGGGAGCATCTTATCATAAACTCTAACCCCGTCCTGACATCGCACGGCAGCCCCGAGATAACGCCATCGCCATCGCCGCCGCCGCCGCCACCGTCACGGTCACGATAAGAGCGAGCGCCGACGCCTGCGAGTGGTCAGCAACGACGCAAAAAAATATATATACATAATGTGTGATGTTAAAGGTGCACTGCGGGACGTTTCTAGTGGAGGGTGAGTCGCCTTCGTTTGTCTCCATGGAGATGCTGTGTCGAGGAGAGAAGGAGAGAGGAAAAGAAGAGAGTAGGAGATGAGGAAACGAGGAGAGTGAGAGGAAAAGGAGGAGGAAAGGAGGAGAAAGGAGATGATGAGACAAGGAGAGAAGAGAGGAGAAGATGAGGAGAGGAGGAGAGAGAAGACGAGGAAACGAGGAGAGAGGAGAGGAAAAGAGGAGGAAAGGAGGAGAAAGGAGATGATGAAATGAGGAGAGAAGAAAGGAAAAGATGAGGAGAGAGGAGACAAGAAGACAAATTGAGGAGAGAGGAGACGAGAGAGCTGACAAGGAGACAAGGAGA